ATTTAGGTAGCTTATTTCTTTACACTAACTTAGCCCCAATAGGCTTGGCATGGAAATGAATAATGAATGCATGTCACAGACTTGTACACAATATGATTTGTCATATGAACAAGCACTAGTTTTTAGTGCCAGACAGCCCCATTGTCCCGCTATTTATTTAAGTCTTGATAGTATAAAACAAACTGTAAAAGTTTTTTGTTGCATGTACAAGAATACAGTTTCAAAAATGGCTCTTGGATGCATCTGCTTATTTTCACTTCATCTTATTTTTCATTTGATTGAATATTTATTATTACATTTCAGCATACCTTCAGCAAATGCCAGAAATTGATGACTAAGAATCTCTCATGTGCAAAATTATTTATTAGGTTTTTAAATGGCCTTCTTCTGAAGTATTGTGCTTTTGAATGCTGTGTAATAAATAAAAAAATGTGGTTCTTCCTGCACTGAGTACACTGGAAAATAGCCTAAGGGATGTTGTATATTTTTAACGAGTCTTAAGCATATTTAATATCCTTATTTCTAATGAAATGTAATGCATCCTTAATACCTAGAAGACACCGAGACAAGCTGTTCTACTTAATTTACTGGCATAAAATATTAATGTGCTACTTTTTTAACTTTTCTGTAAGCTAGAAGACTAGCAATGAAATGGAAAATGTGTTTTCAGGTGTAAATGTTTCTCATAAAGACAGCTGGTGGATTTACTAAAGAAGATGCAGTTCAACTAACAAAGTGAATGTGTGTTTTTTCACTTTTAAAAGTGAATGTTAGTGAATACAGTGAAGCTGTGCTCACTTTAGATACCTAATCATGTGGAAAGGAGATAAAAAAACGGATTTTTGCTAAAAAAAGTGTCGGGTATTTAAAGTAACAGAGAGTCACCTAATTCACTAACATTTAGCCCAAAGTAAAATTCTCTCTTTTCTAGGGGAACAACCATGGGTATTTAAAATGAACATGGGTTTACTGGGCTAAGTGAACTGTTTACTCCTTTAGAAAAACCAACTCCCAGTGTCTACTATAGAAACATTTTTGGTATACTAATATAGAATTGGTTGTTTGCGTAAATGCAGATGGTTTGTGTTTTCTCTAATTTTTTCAGCATATAAAAAAAAAATTCACTAAACTTTATGTTGCTATTAAAAAAAAAAAATATGTGAATCTTACTGACTTCTAATCAGCACTTTAAGTACTTAAAACTGTTCACAGTTGTCCATGGAGCTCAGTAATTCCTACTGCATTAACTGTGGTCCAGTAGGCTAATAGAACTCAAATACTTATGAATGTTACAAAGATGCAGCAGTACTGTGTGTATGTAAAGCTGGGTATATGCTTTGAGGTTTTATTTTGTTCAACCAGCAAAGCAAACAAATGGAAAAAAAAACTTCACAGATCACTGCATCAACGCAAGCCACACTGATGCAAGGATCTCTGTGTCATTGTATTCTGATGGGTGCGGCCCTTCTCCAATCAAAATACACTGATCAGTGGTGCAGCTATTGATTCAAAGCTCTGACCGAATGCCGGTTTTCCAGCATGGCTGTTTGACAGAAGCCAGTCGTTTCAGCTTCTGTTGAGCAGAGATGCACATGTTTTCTGCTTAACCATCCAAATTTTGGTATGTGTATAACCTGCCTAAAGGGAGCAACTCTTCAGCAACCACGAGCTTCAGCAGGACACTTAGTATACATTTGTTTTATCCTAAGACAATGTAAAAGAAACCTGCACCATTGTGAAGCTCCAATAAGCAATTGTACTAACTGCTTTCCTTTTATACTAGTAGAGAATATCTGATTCACTAGAAACTTGTATTGGTTTATCTGTTGTTTAATAGAATACCTGCTAAAAGTGATGCTCAAAATGTCTGTAGGCTGTGTTTTTTGTTGAGCTTAAAATTGTGTCTCTTTTGGTGGTCATCAGTTGGTCAAAATTCCTTGTTTTGTCTTTTTTTTTCTTAAAAATTATGTTACTTTAGTTTGAACAAGACACAGGGGTTTCAAGCAGTTTAGGAAGAACGCTTAATTTAGAGAGTGAATTATGGATTAAACTGAATCAGTTCATATAAAACTGTGTAAGAAAATACCATCAGTATTGTCCTTAGGACTATCAGTAGCATGCAAAAAGTCATTTTATTTTGGCACTTTTTACTTTCTATGAAAATAAAGAATATATCATAATTGTAATATGAAATTGTTAACTTAACCTTCCTTACTCCTTCATACTTACAAACTTACAATATTAAACTTTTATTATACAGTTAACTAATGAAAAACTGTATTGGGTAATTACACGTATAGAGTAGTTTATGACACTGTTACCTTTTCAAGGGTTATTTTATAAATGTGAAGTTCATAAAATGGGTAATTATAATATTGCAGTAGAGTACAAAAATCAGCACTTACATTTGTGATCAAAGATCAGTTCAATGAATGGTTAAAATAATAACATGCTCCATAACCAATGGCATCGCCAGTGGAACTATAAGCTATGGAGGCTAGACATGAGGTACTCAACACAGGACTATAACACAGATCATTCACATTCACAGTGCTTCCTCTTTGCAAGATAGCTCTTCCAGTTTCTCTTATGAACTACATGTAATTCCCAGATATAATTTTTTTAGACAAATTCCTTGTTTTATGTTAATAAATGCATGTCAGTGAAGTCAATTTATTAACTTGTTGGTGACATCAGAGACATTTGCCTTCCTTGACTTGTCCTGATTCAATACACATTCATCAGCAACATAGGGTATTCAGACAGGTGTCTATTAGAATTTAAAAATTGCACCATGTCAAATTAGGATATTTCTAATCAAAAAATTCTATCAGAAGTAAGCAGTGACAGCAGTTTACGAATGGCCCAGACATGACCCAGTGGCTAAATGACCCAGTGAAATCTTGAAAGAGACAAATCTTTACACGTGATCATTTTTCCCTTAATAAATAGGCACTAATTAATAATAACTAGAATACATGTTATTAAAACCAAAGTACAGTGCCTAAATAAAGGGAACATTGGTCCTCTTTTTCTTTTTTTTTTACTTTGATAATTGATTTTCATATTAAAGTTACCCGGATATGACACATTTTGTTGTAATAGTAATTATGTTTTGTACTTCACAAAAATAAAAATTTGTGCATCAATGAACATTACATTAGTCATATGGGATATAGTATCCATTTAAAGCATTACTTCAACAGAGGCATTACCATAGCAGCATTCATTTTAAAAGGTGAGCTATCAATATTCTGTGTGGTGTATATTTATAGGCTCCAAATGTAATTTATATATGCAGTACTTGTTTATGATTTTAACATGTCATTTCATATGAAGGATTTGATAATTTAGTGCTTTTCTAGAAGACATATTTTTTTTCTTTAAACTAATTCATGATTCAGTATTTCATTTTAGTAAAACAGTAAAACAGTAAAGGAGCTGTAGTCTTATCACAAATCTGTTAATACTTTGTAGACAAAAAGTTTAATTCTCAATTAATTCAATAATACTATGGTAGAACTCAACTTTAGAAACTGAATTCATGTGCAAATAGTGCAACAAGAGCTATATTATACTTAGTCATAGTTGTCGGTCATTTTTTAATAAGATGACCTATTTCGTTATTTACAAACAGACATGCACATTACATTGACTAACACAAAGAAATACATTAAATTGTAACATTACATTAAAACTTATTAAAAGTTTTTATATAACTTTTTTAACTTGATAGCTGTACGATCCTGTACATTTAAAACATATAGGATTTCAGTAGTTTAGATCACTGACTTCCACCTACTTCTATGTATGATTAGGTACATTAAATTCACAACAGTATTGTTATACACTGTCAATCTTTGAACAAACAGCTGATAGCACATCAATGCCCTTGCTTGCAGAAGACATCTTTTCCATTCCATTTAGTTACAAAATGTTACAAGACATCTCTGGACTTTAAGGTTTAAAGAAGTCAGTCCTACATTATGTTAAATACACATTATTATTCTACAGTAGGACCTTACATAAATGTGATGCCTACTGTTCTATACTGAATGTCAAATAAGATTCCATTTTACCACAATCAATTCAAGCACATATTAAGGTCTCCATTTCTGTGCAAGTAAAGCAAACCATATTCAATCTTTCAGTGTCAAACTTGTAGATGAAATTTCTCTGCATTTTGCAAACCAGAAGATTACCTCTAATTTCTAGAACTATATTAGCCATAACTTTCATCATAGTGATGTGAGGTATTAAAATGTCTTCCAATTTTCTATTTGTTTGCATGTCTTGACAAACACAATACATAAGATAAAGGTCCGAATGGACAACACAGAATACTTTAAGGACTACAAACAATACTTTAAAAAATGTAAATCTATATCAGATTTGTTCAATTTGTTTTCAAAATAAATGAAACTATATAATTAAAAAATATTCTTGTATAATAAAATTTGTGCTCTTTTTGTATTCTAAACTAAGGATTGTAACAGAGTAAAACTTTTTTGTGAGCTCTCCATTTTCCTTACTGCCTTAATTTTGTATGAATAGTAGGGATACTGGTTGCTGTATTTCTCTCAATATACTTAACTGAGATTAAGAGGGGCACACTCCACTTTCCTTTCTATCGGCATGACTGACTTACACTGCTTCAGCAGATGTATCTGTAGATACTGACATGGTCACTTTGGCGATCTTTACTGTGCTTTTAATGCAGCTTTCAGCTGCTCGGTGGACGTTACTATTATGCGCATGTCTGTTCTGACAGTCAGACTCCATGCTGTTATCAAGAGGCTGTGCAGTCCCTTCACAAGTAGGGAACATGCTACAAAATGCACTTCTTAAGTCTTTGCTTCGAAGAGCGTAGATGATGGGATTCACAGTTGAATTAAGCAAACAAAGCATGCTGCAGAAGGCAAACACTGTCTTTACGGTCTTGTTCATCTTTCCAAAGACATCATAAACCATAATGGCGAGGAGAGGACCCCAACAAATGATTAACACACTAAAATAAGGACCAGGGTCTTTGCTAACCTAATATCCATACGAGCCTGGTCCGGTCTAGTGATGTGCACTTTGCCATCTTCTGATGTATGAACTATGATGCTCTTTTGAGTGCCCCGTTGCAACATTCTCACAGCGTGGGTGTGAGCTTTCCACAATATATACATATATGCATACACTATAAATAACAAAAGAACACTGGTTACCCCAATCCAAAACATCAGATAGGTCTCATCAATAAGAGGGAAAATATCTGAACATATGGATTTTAGTTTCTTGCAATTCCATCCTAGCAGAGGAAGCACAGCAATGACAATAGCTATCGTCCACATCATACAAAATGCAATGACAGCTTTTGTCCTTGTGACTATTCTTTTATAGGACAATGGCCTGTGTATGGAGATGTACCTGTCTATTGCAGTTAGAAACAGACTGCCAACTGAGGCTGTGAATGAAGCTGTGACGCCCCCTAGTTTGAACAGAAAAACATTTGGGCTGTCTATCCGATGGAAAACATGGAAATCAACAAAACTGTAGACAAAAATGACACTGCCTAGAAGATCAGCAACTGCCAAGCTTCCAATAAAATGGTAGGAGGGTCTGCATCTCAAAGTACGAGACTGCAAGATGACACACAGCACAAGCATGTTCTCCAGCACAGTAAATGTACCCAGGGTTATGGAAAGAGCAGCGATAACTAGCTGTTGGCTTGGGGTAAGAATCATAAAGCATTCCATGTCCATGAAGTTGTTTCCACATTGTATATTGTCATCACCATCTTTAAAAGAAGTGATTGACTTGTTGTAAAATTCAGTTGCATTAAATGAATCCAGATGTAGGGTACTTTGACCGTCTATATTATTTTTTCTTGATATGAGGATAAAGGTAGTTTCTGTGGGTAATAGCCCAGTTTAGAAAGATCACTCTTTGTGTCTTCATACTGGACTTCGTTAGGTCCCATGTAGTGAAGGTCAGTAGTAATTGTTCTGAATGTGGTGTCTGCCAGGCCATCCAAAATTGACTTCATCACCTCAAGTTTCTGTTAAATATATTCCCAGTGGAAAAGATAGACTGTTGGCTCCACACCTGCAGCAGAGTAAACAACATAGAAATGGTAAACAGGCAAAATGAAATTTCGTATGTCTAGTCAAGATGAATTATATCCTGTAAATGAAAGGCTGTTCTTCATCTATTAAATTGCTCAAATCAATAATAAACTAAAATATTTTGATGAGCTAACAGTCAATAATGTTAGGCAATTTGAAATTGCTACACAGAAAACATGTGAAAAAATAGACAGAGTAAGTTGAAATACTGTTGGCATATTTAAAAATTGAGTTTTACACCCAGATAGTTTTCTGCAACGAAGGATTTTTCATGTACTTTCAGAAATACAACAATAATGCAGACTGTATGTCTAATATATATATATATATATATATATATATATATATTTTTTTTTTTTTTTTTTTTTTTTTTTTTGCTGAAATGCACTTACACTCATCACATAAGATTTCATCACTGCCAGAATTCCTAGTTCTGACTAGCTCTGTAGCCACTGAAAAACTAAACAAGGATGTAAGGCTTCTCTAATGGATTTTTTAATAATGTAGCATTCATTAGTATTTGGGAAGCCCTACTATGAAAGGGACATTATTATTGTGACAGTCAAATGAAAAAAAAAGAAAATCGTTCAAGTAATGTGAGATGACACACACTGGTATCCATCCAAAGCTAATTTTCCTAATTGAGTATAGCTTGTTTTGGTTGAAAATAAGCTTTTACTAACTGAGGTCACCCCAAAAAAGCTTTAAACTTTTTTAATTACTCACAAATAGAATCTGTTTAGTGTGCTATAGTCAACAGCTCTTTAACTTTCTAAGACTTCAGTCCTTATCAGAAATCAGTCAAGCTGAGACAGATTGGCTATTAGGAGAATGTCTGCCTTAGATATCTATTCATTCTATGGTTCTTTTTGTGCTATCCCTACCTAACAGCCAGTCTATCACAGCACAGTGAAGACTAAAATTTTAAACTACAATTAAATCTTTCTGTGGAAGTTAATGAGCTGAGAGTTATAAATAATTGATCAGTCTCCCTCTCTGAGTAAGTAAAAACATTTTAACCCTTTCTTGGAAAACCTCTGTGAATTTTAGACAGAAATAAACCTTGGATTTATCATACATTATACTAGAACAACTAGAGTACTACAATGCAGAACACAGTAATTACTTTGAAAGCTAAAAACTCTCTGTTACTGAAATATTCATAACGTTGTCTTAGACCAAACCAGCATTCCAAAAATCCAATCATCAAATAATGTTTTGCAAGGAAAACCTTTCTTCAATTTTGTTCAGAAAAAAAAAAAGTATCTTATATAGCTTCTTTCAAAATTTTTACAATTCAAATGGGTTATCTGCTTTTACTAATCTTCCATTTCTATGCATGCTTGTTGCTTGTTTTTAACAGTTGCTGACTGGAGGCATGCTACATACGATATGAAAATAAAAACCTTTGCAGAGATACATAGGTCATAGTGGACATGCCCTTACCTCTTCTTCAATGGCTGCGGATCACTGCAGCACTCTTACTAGCAATTCCCCACTTTCAAAGTGACACCTAGGACTTGCTGAGTAACAGTGGCAGCATCTGCTGCTGGCTCAAGCACAAACTCGCAACAGTTTTTCCAAAATAATCTTCTAGGACAGCATGTGAGATATAGACACCTTTTCTAACAGTTACCAGGAAAGCATCACCAAAGACACTTTAAAAGAAAGTCCTTCTTCCAAACTTCTCATTTTTTGTGTTTCATTTATTATTGTATTATAACTACTGTTATTATGGCTAACCTTTTGTTCCACCCACCCTTTTACCTACCTATCTCCCCTATGAGCACCTGGTAGGGTTCTCTACTTAATTGCCCTGTAGGACCCCTCCTCAGTATTGGAAGGAGGTGACTGGGTTACCCTTCTCCTTTTGTGCCTGGTGAAGGCCATATAAAACTCCATTGACAGAAACCAGCATGGGCAGCAAGAGTTCTTAATCCAAGTGTACTGTCTGCAGTGTAGGGGACTTTGTGGCAGGGGCCCATGCAGGAGCTGCATTGAGTATGTGGCCTAGCTGTGTTCCTGTTTGATTGGATGAAGCTAGGTGTTAATCATGGGCTGGGTGAAGTAATTTCCAAGCACTGGAGTCTCTGGTTCCAGGCCTTGTTCTCAGTGAAGAGAAAGGGGAAGGGCCAGCTGGTGCTTTAATGGGGGGTTCCTTCCAGCATTTGCTGTCAGGAAATGCAGGAAGGTACAGTTGGAGGAACTAACATTTTGGATTCTTCAATGCAAGTTGAAGCTCAGGTGCATATAGGCACCCTTAGCACCAGAAGGAAACAGGTAAGCTGGAGGTTGCTGTACCTACTTCCTTTCACCTATGTTTGTTCCTAGGTTTTCACCTAGCCTGTAATCTGTTACTTGGGTGCCTTGGTGTTAGGATTATTTTGACAGGGCAATGTTGGGCTTCTTAGGGGGTTTCAGGGGTCCTGACAGATTCCCTCTCTTGACTGGTTCACTTTGGGACATCCTGAGAGAGGAGGAGTACCAGTACCTGTAGCAACCAACTAGTGCCTGTAGCAAGGGGTGTTGGCTTCCACCTTCTAATCCTTAAGTCTTTCTTGGTAGATATGTGCCCAGATCTCCAACTCCTGTTCTGTCATTTGTAGTGGTCCCTCAAAAGGTGAAACTTTTGTGGGATTTCCTGGCCTCAGTATTCCATTCTACCTGGATTAATCCAGTGAGTAAGTCTAGTGGAAGTAAACTTTCTGCACTTTAAAGGGAGAGGATGATGAATACTTCTGTAAGCATACTAATTCCAAGCAGTAGGAGAAACCAGTATATTTATTTTTTAAATCCACTGTAGGCTCACAGAACTCATTAATTAATCTTAATTGTTTCTATTAGCTGTTACCTGTGTGTGACTGCCTCACATGTGTATGGCTTGCATTCTTGTACATGATACAATCTCCAGACTGTTAACACAACACGCTGGCAGAAATTTCATCTCCTCTTATCTCACAGAGCCTTCTGTTCCCACTAGAACAGAACTCAAGAGGCTAACTGATAAATCTTCTCAGCTCTTGATCACTGCCTGTGTTACCTGATATACTATGATCTTCATTCACTTGGTATTGGACTGATGGGACCTCATTTACTGTAAATACCTCAGTGGTTATGTAGCGCTATATTCATATCCTTGCCATAACCTTAAACAGAGTTCTGTCTCTTGGGGTAGGTCTACAGTCTTGGCACAAGTGTGTATTTTTTTGGGCCCAAGATATTATGTTGTACTTCACTCCTGGGGCTGATGTGGAGTAACCATTTTGTGCTACTGAGGTGGTTTTGCATGTGGAGTCACATTGGGGTTTATTTACTAAAGCTGGAGAGTCCAAAATCAGACTCCCTTCTGCATAGAAACCAATCAGCTTCTAACCTCAGCTTGTTCAATGAAGCTTTGGCAATGAAACCTGGAAGCTGATTGGTTTCTATGCAGAAAGGAGTCTGATTTTGGACTCTCCAGCTTTAGTAAATAAACCCCATTATGTCTGCTATTATGTCTTCCTGGAAATCAGATGCTTAAACCATCACCAGGACAGGTTGTTTAGATCCCAGTTTATTATGCATTCGAAATACCCATACATGCACAACACCAACTTTGGATGTTCACTGTGTTATATGTTACAACTTAGGTCTCACATGCTTTTTTTCACTACCTCTAAGTTGAGTATTTCATATTCTTTTTCCACTTTTGGTAAAGGCCTCCAGGTTCATTAACCTTCCATCTAGTATTACAAGTGGGTGGTAGTATTGATTGTCTATGCCACTGATATTATGCAACTACGCCCCTGATATTATGCATTGTGCAATTCATGTTTTCTGGATGTTTTCATACCATACATTGGGATTGGGTCCCGGTTAGACTAACCTTGCATGCGAAAATCAGTGAGAAAATCATACAAATAGGAAATTACATTTCTGGGAGGCATTCTGTGCTACATCTGTGTACAGAATTGGTACACAGATGTAGGTTGGCATATTGCATTGTATTTTACAGATAATCACAGTGATATGGATTGAAAAGGAAAGGTACCTTTTAATAACATTCAGTTACAAGATGACTTGTGTAGCAATTGTATATGCTATATATATTTGTTTTTTTTTGCTATCTGTTCCTTATTAGCCCTTATCAGCCCCAATTAATCCCCTCTTCCCTTAGCTATTATGTTTCTATTTTTCTACTGATTTCTTTATTTAGAAACATTTCAATATTATTTAAACTTTTTTATTTTATTTTATTAGTTTTGCTTGTTAATATTCTGTGAGTCACATTAAAAAAGTGAAAAATCTGCTATTGCATTAGTAAATAACTTTGTAATGCTTTTTTTTGTATCAGTATAAATTGTAGAATAAAATGTACACTTTTCGTTAATGATAAAAATAAATAAACTAATACTGATCAAACTGCAAAAAAAATAAATGTTCTTGTTTTTTTCCACAACAATATCACCATAAGAAGGCATTGTTTGTCCTACAAATAAATAATAGTTACAAAAAAAAAATATATATATATATATATACAGTCATGGCCGAAATTGTTGGCACCCTTGATATTTCTCCAGGAAATCATGTATTTCTCACGAAACGTATTGCATTAACACATGTTTTGCTATACACATGTTTATTCCCTTTGT